AGCTAGGGCCTCTGTAGCTCCTCTGGAAGAGAATTAGCATACTTCTTATTGAAATATTTTTGGGGTTTGGAATTTGATTTTTTTTTTTTTTTGTGCTGTGTGTTTTTTTTTTTCTCTCTCATATCCAGCTGCATCAATTTCCTGACTACAAGAATTAAATTGTTTAGTTATCTGTAATGTGCATAGACTTCTGTGAAGCTTTACAAAGGAATCTTTGCTGTTAGGCTAAGAATTGTTTATTGTAGCACCTCCAGTTCCTATAAACCTGAATTGATGAACTGAACAACTTTTCCTCCTTCTTAGCATGAGAAACGCTTCTCATGATCTTACTCATGAAAAGATTGCATTGGGGTCCTCTCATAAGTTTTCTTGGGTTTCTGCCATTGGAGGAGGGAGTCCATAAGCAGCAGCATCTGGCCGAACATCTGCATCAAGTCCCTGCTGACATCCCGAGATCTGTCTGCCCAGGCTCACTCCTCCCTTGATACAGAACTTGACACATCATGTACCCCACTGCCAGACAACCTCAGCAAATATTTCTCTCTCTAAGGGAGGCTGTGTCAGTTTTTCAGTGTGTTCATCCTCTGTTACCTCATTGCTCACCTGATGGAAGACTACTCAGACTCTTTTCAAACTGCTTAGACTCTCTGGAAGGAACCTGATGAAGAACCTTGATATGAGCAAGCTGGAAAGCCTGATCTAGGTGCCAAGATCAAATCTAGCCTTCTCCAGACCAATGACCAAGGAGTTTTAATTCTTCACAAATGACAGGAAAACTCAGTAACTAAGATAAATGTCAGTGAGTGGATGTGACCAATCTGTTCCTCAAGGCTTTGCAAGGAAGCAGCAAGGAAGTGGTGAAGGTCCCCACGCCAGCTCTGCAGCTGTTTGGTTGAAATCCAGTTATATTTTTTTTCTATTATTCTACACCACTTTCAGTTATATATTATTGTAAATACCCTCTGATAGACCCTTTCAAAGCAATTGAGTAACTCAATGTTTAACAAAGATACATTAATTTTCTTGTTTAAGTTCTGGGAAATACAAGATCATTTTTCATTCTGAGTTGGCAATTACAATCTTTAAACTAGTGGTGCAATAGGGGGAATAATAGCTTTGTGGAAATTATTCTAGAGATCTGTACTTTAAGGAATGGTAGATCAATGAAATCTTCATTTCTGTATTTGTATTCTTTTTAAAATTGAACGTTTGATGCCTATGCACAACTCCTGTGCTGCAAGAACAATTGTTATTTCCAAATGCCCTTGCTCGTGGGAAACATTTTTTCTTTTTTCTGTCTGTAAGGATGTATAAAACAGAATCAATCTTTTTCTGTATATAGGAATTCATTTAGTAAAAGATATCTCTTCTGTGTACAGGAGCCTAATGTAGTGTAGAAGAAACACTTGCCACTTGGGTTCGAGGGTGCTACATTCACAAGCCAAGTGGGCTGTCTCAGATGTGCTGCCTCTCCATCACCCATAACACTGACATAAGCCCAGTCACAGCCGTGTGTACATGAGAGGTTGAATAATGCATGGCAACAGTCTCTTGAGCATTTATTTTAGTCCTTTCATTTGGCCTTCAGGCATTTCCCACTCCATCCTGATACCAACTTGAAAATTTCCTAAGACAGAAGATAAAACCCAGTGAAGGAAAAATTTCAAAACCATTGCTTTTGTTGTAGTCATACATTTGATATTTCTGTGGAGAATTCACCAAATTTCATCATCGCAGTCTCCAGAAAAAGTCATACATATTACAAGTAATTCTTATTTTGAGGTAACCCTTAACCAAAGGGATGGAATTATCACTCCGTAACATTTCAGGTAAGAAGCTATATTTGACCAAACTGTATCACTGAAAAATAAAGGCCACTCTTCTATTAATTAAAGGCAGCTGATGATCAGTTTATGAGAAAATAAAAAATTCAGATGTATTCTCATGAATAACACAGTCATGTTTATAATTTATTTTAATGTGAACTGAAAAACCTCCATGTATAAGTGCAAGGACTGTCAAATATAATTCACAAGAACAGGCTGCTCTTCAAAATAAACATCTATACAGTGTACTGGGAGAATGCCTCCATATATTGACTAACTTTAAATTAATTTGTGGCTTTGGTAATGATCTAAAAAAGCACTCTAGTCTCTTTTCTGTTTAGTGCATCCTTTATTACTGGAGCAGCAGAGATTGAGTGGAACAAAGGCAGAGTACTGCCTGAGAAGAGCAGTTCAAGAAAGGCTATGATTAATGAACACATAAACATAAACAGGGTCACCTGCAGTCATGAGCCCTTTAGGGCAGCAAAACCCCATGATACTGTTGTTCAAACAGCCCTGCCTTAAGTAGACAAGCACAGCACCTTAGCTCATCTTAAGCTGAAGGAAGTCATCAAAAGGGAAGTAGGGAAAAACCCGAGTTTCACCATGCCTGTGGCTCTAAAGGTTCCTCAGGCAGGAAAGGCTAAATAAAGCTGCCCTGAATTCACAATTTGCTGTCCTCACCAAAACAGAGAAAGTTTCACTACATTACACAGTAATAGTGACTTGAGGCCTCTTCAGCTCCAGCAAGGTGAGGGCAGGGGAGATGGCAGGTCACTCCCCAGCCCCTCCTTGCAGAAGGATAAGGGCTCATACTACCAAAGAGCAGTAGGCGTGAGTGTGGCATTCTTTGACTGAATAGGAGTCCCACAGACAGTAAGCAAAACAACTATGCAGAACAGTTTCAAAAGAACAACAAAAGACAATTTTTCTGGCACCTTCCTAAGAACCTAATAAATAAAAGGGAGTTTACTTTTGGTAACAAATCAGGCACCAGTAATGGTAGGAGATTCGCCCTGTAGGTTAAGCTCTGCTGTATTCTTTTTGTAGCCTGTCCAAAGCAACCCAAGACTGCAGTCCTACTCTAAACACCAGCAGCTACCCACTGAGCAGGAGAGATGCTTTAGGAGTGCAGAATCAGCAAAAGGGCTCCCCTGCCATTTCCCTCCACATCCCCCTCCTCACTGCTAATAGTCTCACAGAAGGTGCCTCTAGAGAAATGTGGACATTGCCGGTATCAGAACATTCACATTTAACTCTGTTACAGACACACAAGGCTACTCTATCTTAGCATAATGTGACTTTTTCACAGCAGCAACTACTCTGACCTATGCTTTGTGTAAATCCCTGAAACCTGTTTCTTTCTTACTTAAATAAGTGTCCCATTGGTCCAAGAATAAGCTTCTTTGCTCCAAACACCTTTATCTCCTTGTGGCCCTCTTATCATCCTATGAAAAAGACGAAGTTGTGGTAGCTCTGACTTGATATCAGACTTAGCACTTCTTGAGCAACATGATGAGTTGTGAGGTGGTTCCTTTGCTCCAAACACTTTTATCTCCTTGTGGCCCTTATCATCCTATGAAAAAGACGAAGTTGTGGTAGCTCTGACTTGATATCAGACTTAGCACTTCTTGAGCAACATGATGAGTTGTGAGGTGGTTGGTTCCTGGAAGAACTGACCATTTTGCTTTGATTTTCTTCCAATCTTGTTTCTGGAGGAAGTGCAATAGAACAATGACATCTGTTTGTCACCGAACTCCATACTCACCTCCCGTGGCTGCACTATTTTAAATTTTTACAGTATCTTTGTGAAATGGCAAAAAGAGTACTAAAGATCTTTATGCTGCTCAGTTTTTCCACAGTTCAGCAAAACAAAGCTCTTTGTAGCTCATTTTTGTAACTGATGTGGACATACACCTTTTAGGGAGAGTTTGGGCAAGGCCTGAACTGTGGTCTAGGGTGGACAGCTTTTCTGTGCTGTATGTAGCTATGGAGAATAAGACAACAGAATCAAGCCTATTGATTGACTAGTCAGGTATTTATTTGTTTTTAACATGCGAAACCAGTACAACAATCACAGAAGCTAGAAAAAATGTAGCACTGAAGAAAGTATTCATGCAGAATGAGTATTGTACTTGAACTATCCTCCACAATCATCAGTCAGTCTGTCCCAATATTTATAGTTCATCATTACAACTGCCAAAACTGGCAACCACCAGGATTGTTGTCTCAATTAAGGACAGTAAACAGATTGTCCCATTTTTTTTAATGAAAAAATCTAAAATGTAATACTTCACAGTTTAACATGTTTATTCATTTAAACGAGCTAAAAAATAGTGGTGTGACATCTGCTTGAGAGACACTGGTACCTAACATTTTGGCTGTCTCCCCACTAATTTGATTGTGATTAAGGGGGTATAAAAGGATGAGTAGAGGATTCTGTCAATTAAATGAATTGATGAACTGCAAAAAAAAAAAATATTTTCACTCTTGGAAATGTGTAGAAAGAAATACATCTACAAAAATGCATTATGGCAAACTAAGAGGATGATGGAGAAAAGTACTGCAAAATATCTCCACTGGCTCTTTCAGGAAAAAATATTGTAAGCATAAGATCACAGATAATCTTTGCCAATTTATTCATCTCATGGCTTCACTTCCCAAAGTGCAGGCATAATCCACTGTAAAATCTTTTAGGATGCAGTTCCAATATCGCATTTCTGCTGTCTTATTGATGTGCCATACTGTTATTTCCTTAGTCATAAGCACCACTAATTACTATGCTACTGTAAGCAGAACTTGAAATGCGATCAAGATCTGTATTATCTTTTTGGTTGGCACTCTAACTTGCCTACTCTGCTTTTCAAGTACGTTCTCTACAGAAAATTGTCCTGAATGCATTTGACCTTCACCAACTGGCTCAGTTGTGCCTTACAGGGACGACAATCCCTTATCAATCATCACTCTGCTGGGAGCTCCTAGCAGCATTTTCCTTCTGAAAATGGCAGCATTCAAAACTTGGCCCTAAGTCAGCAGATGAGCCCTTCCACGGTAGCAACCTTCATGGAAGAGGCATGAACAGTATGCAGGGCTTTCACTGTGCTCTCCTTTAGTAGAATTGCTCAAAACCTGTGTTTTCAAACAAAACTTTTAGGTCAGCTGCTCTAGAGAACATCTAAGTAAACAGAAGAGTTTGCTCATGTTGAAGCTATTTGCAGTTATGTGTTGCAGCACAATCTCCCAGTCTACAAGTCCTGCTCCAGACCAGCTACAGCTGGTCTGATGCATGGAAGGAGCTGATTCTGAATCACATGGTGTCTATATCATATGCAACAGTGAACTTCAACTACAGCATTCAAGAAAAGTTTAAATGTATCTCTAGGGTCTATTAGGGAAATGCTTAACGTGCCTCCTAAGCTTCCAGTAAAATATGTTTATGGACTCTAGGTAGTAGAGCCTAGAGCCTTTCCTTGACAATGTTCACTAGAAGCACCACTAAAAATACTAGACTGTGGCTTCAGTCCTGAGATGGTCTACATGCTGGTTCTGCTTCTGAAGAATCAAAGAGAAAAGGAAAACCACCTCGGAAGATGTGCTGAGCAAAATCACTTGTGGAAGACTGTTATGCCTTCCTAGCCAGAGATTCTTCCAGACAGGACATCTGCTCCTACCCACAGCACAAGGACCCAGTACAGGCATCTCCTCCACAACCTCTGCTAGAAAGAAATTCAGTTTACTCCAGGAGTAGAGGGCAACTACTGATGTCTATGTTTTCCTTCAGGTGAATATCTTTGAAAAAACTCATTAAGCCACATTTGCCATGTAAATTATTTGATCACTAATCCTTCTTTGAAACAAGCATATAAACTTTTATAATAAAAAAGTCTCGTACAACTCAAGTGATAGAGCTGCGTGGATAAACTCCTTCTCAGAAGGAGATCTCTCTATCAGTATTGGGTAGGATGCCAAAGGAAGTTCTCTCCATTGTCTCTTAAGTATTCATAGGCCACATTTAGTTTTATATGAGTTTAGTGGCTAGAACAGCCTAAAGTTATCCAGATATTCTAAAACTGACATCAGTGCTTACTTTTGATCATTTTGCTGTTTAGATTAATGTCCTTTCAAATGTATACATAAATCAGTGTGTTCAACACTAATAAGAGAACCAAAATAGAAAAAAAAATCATTTATTAATAAAATAGACACCGAGCAACTCATACAAAGATAGATGGTCCAAAATCCAAAAGGCATATTTCAATCTCAGATATAATTAAGGGCAAAATAAACCACATGTCCCATTAGGAATTATTGTATTGATAAGAGAAGATGTGTATTTGCTGCAGCATTTACCATGTATTTCTACATACACTGAACAGAAGTCTACCCGGTCTAAGCAAAAAGAAATTTTCCTGTCACATGAGAATATCCTTCTAGTACCTGAAGGGAGCCTACAAACAGATTGACTTTTTACAAAAGCATGTAGTAACAGCACGAGACAGAGTTGATTCATACTAAAAGGGAGTAAGTTTTGATTAGACATTGAGAAAAAATTATTCATTCTGTGGGTGGTGAGGCACTGCAACAGGTTGCCCAGGGAAGCTGTGGACGCCCCATCCCTGGGAGTGTTTGACAGCAGGACGGTGCTTTGAGCAATGTGCTCTAGTAGAAGTGCCTCTGCCCATGAGAGAGGTGTTGGAAATAGATATCTTTTGCATCCTTTCTAATGCAAACCATTCAATGATTTCATGATTCTATGATCTTTCATGCAAATGAAAAGACCTAATCCAAACAAAGCCAACAGACAAATGGCAAACTGTGGGCAATATGGACTCATAAGCCACACATCAGGGAAGCTGATAAAATCACATATATATGCACTTCAGATTTGATCTTATTTACAGTTATGGGAAATGGAATATTCCTGTTCTAGGAACTTCTTATTCATAAATTTGACAGTAAGAATTGCTTGCTTTTTAACACAACCAACAGAGAGAGCAGGTTATGAGATGACCTGCATGAAGGGAGTCTTTCTCAGACCATACATGTGACATTAAGGAAGCAATCCTTCCAGCATGTTAGAGAACATGAAAACTGCTAATGTAAAGCAACAGGAGAGGCCTGCAGCTTTCTATGACATGTGGTTGGGTGCTGGCAGAGTGAAAGGCATGTCACATCCAAGGAGACAGCTTGTGATATGCTTTTTCCTCCACTGGAAGTTGGGCCATGTGTCAGATAATGCTTCACCATAAATTCAACATGTTGCGAGGTGCTTGGTCAAGTGTGCGACTAGTAGCGGACTGTAAGTCATATGCATACATAAATGTTAGGATTTTGTGTCTCTAAGAGTCATACATAGAAAATGAGATATATTTGCATATACACATTTCTCTTTCATATATTTTTCGGAAGACTGTTGTACTCTGAATTTCTGGACTTTTTGTTTTGCATGGCATAAAGTGAATGAACACTATGACACATATGAAGTGGATCCTTAGAGACTCATAATGTATATGGTCATACTGTTACTGTATGGTTTAAAAATTAACTGTATTGATCCAAGTTTCTTAAGTGGTGATAATGGGACTGTGTCAATTTAAAAGAAATATATTTTCCATTATAATATTTGCTGTGATTTGCATCCCTTTGTCTTCAAAATAACTATAAGAAATCTTAGCCAGCCATCTCGGGAACAAGACAGTAAATACCTCAGTTGCAATTAAACCTAACATTCAGCTCTGAAATTTATGACAAAGGCAAAACCAAGCCTCAGAATTACGAAAACTTTTCTGAAAGTCAGTCTGCCTAAATTTCCTTGCTACATTCAGCAACAACGGCTCTACATGTTCTTGATATCAAACCGAATCAGAACTGAATCTCAGTCAGAGAAAGACTGACCACACTTTTAAGAGGATTAAAACTGAGTCTTTACATCCACAAGCTCAGTTCTATGCCAAAATCAAAGCAGAACAGGATAAAACCAGAATTTTAAAGCTCCCTGCAGCTGCTCTGACACACCAAATTCTTCAAGTGACTTTTGGTTATCAAAAGGAACAAAAATGCTACCTACAGTGCCTAATTTGAAAGGTACTTCGCAAGAACTGAGGGATGTAATGGAGCCAAGATTTACCAGTTATTAGTATGCCAGGAGAAAAAGTGTTTTCTTATTACTTACAGCCTCTCACATTAGTTTGATGATTAATATGATTGTATAACTGGAAAGGAATGTTTTTATACAACATGCCCCTAATAGGTAGAGCAAGTTGATACCAAAACCATCAGGAAGAGCATAATTAAAACACAATTTTGACTTTATATTAATAGTAGACCAATACACTAATTAAAACCAACATTGACTAAACTTTCTATTTACACTAGTTCAGACAGCACAGGAGGCAAAGAACTGTGTTTCAGAAGCATATGCGAATGTTAGAGCTTCTGTCATCCAGGTGCCATTTCTAACAGAACACATGTGTGCTGAACAGTTGGCAAAAGAATGAAAAAGATTACTGCAGATATATGGGCACACAGAATCTGGAATGACAGAAAATTAAGTCCATATAGAAGGTGACAGACTGCTTGTAAGAAGATAGTCTTTTCCTACAATTTCTTCCATCTTCATGCATGCGCACACATGCATGCACAAGGAAGATTAAAAGGGAGAGAAAGGATGAGGGTGTTTTGATATATTATAAAGACAAATGAAGAAAAGACTTTTTACTTGGTATTTCTGCTTTCTTTTCAGAAAGGAACAGGAAACGAATTTGGTTATTAGGAAGCTCTGATTCCTAAATTTGGTCAAGGCAGACACTCCTGTGAAGTCAGCATCAATACCCATGATAATAGTAGCACCTGTCTTTTGACATCGAAGTTCTCTGCCTGAGAAAAACATAATGTAAACAATAAACTTCATGTATTGTACTGTTGCTCCTAGCTTTGGTGTCAGACAAATACACTTGGCCAGGCATAAGTGTTCTTCTTTTGGAGACCTGGAATGTGACTGACGTATTGCAAAACTTTCTTATGAATTTGGACTGCAAGAAATGGCATAGTTGACTGTCTTACAGTGAAGGGACCGTGTGTTTCTATGTAGTCTTGTTGAAGCTGAAGAAATCTTGATGACAGATTCATTGCATCTGCTAGTTTTCATCTGGGTCCAGATCAAGGTCAACTTCACTGGAAACATTAAGATAAAAAAAAGCATAGAAAGCCAACAAAAATACCAGTATAGCTGCAAGGACAAGGGCAACTTCCTGTAGAAATAAAAGAAAACAAAAACCTGTTAGAAATAATACCATATTTTCAGATTAATCAGGAATAAATATTATTTCCCTTCTACAATGCACATCAAAATAACATCAGACACAGTATAATTGCATAAGGCATTGATACTTCAATGATTTCTCTATTGTGGTTACCATTCCAAATGTTGTAGAAGCCATTTACTTAATGAAGATTTTGGTGAGTTTGATATACATCAGAAAGAGAATATTTAGCTTAAAAATCTTTAGTCTTACCTAGAAATAGAGCTTTATATCTTTTTATTATCCAATTCCTTCTTTTTTAAAGGAAAAGACAGAATTCACAAACCACAGTTTTGAACACAAATTTAAGTTATGAATTTACACTGTGAATTTTGATGTTTTCTAGCAATATGTTACTGCTTTTTGCCAACAAATTTGTAATTTTTTAATGAAGCAAACACAGTATGGTGGAAGTCAATGAAAATTGCTACCTCTACCTCCCAACCTCCTGGTATACAGTACAACATGGAACTACAAACTCCCTCAGAATTGGATGAAACTTTTCTTTCTTCAGCTCTGCAATAAGGCAAAAAGCACAACAATTTGCACTTGCCTCTCTTCCCATAAAATATTGCAACTTGCTGCATCTTCCTTAATTAACATAAAAGAGACTTCCAAAGTATACATGATTTATAGCAGCTTTCAGAAGCACAAAAATGTTTTTATACTACACATTATACTCATTATGTGACTGCCTATCATCTTAAGGCTGGACTCTGTAAAAATGCAATTACAGTACAATCATCCTCTTAATATTTCTTCTATTTCCTGTATTTCTTTCCTTTTTATTTCATTCAAAGACACCATTATTTCACATTTTTAAGTTTCTATTTTTCTGTAAGGCACAGCACACTTCCTGAGTGTTGACTCTCATTTTGCTAGACAATGAAAGATGAAAGATAAATTTGAGAAAAATCCTTATGCCCCTTCAGCTCACAGAAAGTATGACTTTATAGATAACAACATCTACTGCTTGACTCCTGATCATCATGATGAACTTTTAAAATTGTGCACTCAAGATGCTCCAAAGGTTAGTCTGTACCTCCAAACCCCACTCTCCCTCTAAGGAAAGAAGCAAAACTTCCCCTCCAATTCTCAGCTTCATGTTAAGCTATAAAACAATTACATCCGAACAATCCCAATGTACATTGAAAATGAGAGAAGAAAAAAGTTCAGTGATTTTATAATAACTGATCTGAATTGGTACAGAAGATGTCACATCAAACCTACTCTGTCAGTGGGACTGAAAAGAGATGCCTACACTGAAACAAGACAAGAAGACACCCTTTACTGTCCAAGGAGAGAATCTGTCCATCTTGTGTCCTCTAAGAGAGGCCAGGTGAATTCTTCCCAAAAATTACCATTTCTCTCCTTAGACTAGAAGGCAGTGCAGATGGTACCTCTTGTGTGCACTGTGGGATTAATCCCACCCAGCATCTCTAGGTTGGTGGTGGCTTTGCAACCAGCATTGTGTTCACTGACATGAAGGAGTTAAAACTGTGCATTTCATTTTTAAAAGTCTAGCCCATAATCTGGCATTCTTCTATAGAGCAGCATTTAATTTGCATTTACATTAATGCATTGTATAGTTTATCAGAATGTTGGATCAATAATTCAACATATGCCATCTAATAAATTTTGAAATACTACTGCCTAGTTGGCATATGTTCTATAGGAGCATATTCTTTATTCTATAGAAACCTTTGCTTTCTATTTTATATGGATGATTGAGATGTCCTTTAAATTTGTTTTACCACATTAAAATTGCTCCTGCAAATTTGCTGAGGTTGTTTGCTACAGATTTCAACTACATTTTCCTCTTAGAATTGTACCATCCTCTGAACTTCATCCTCCTGATTTCATGATTTGATTTAAAAAAAAAAGTACATTTAATTCACTCATATATTAAAGGAAAGTGATTTTTGCTTTGTTGCAGTTGCAACACGTCAGTATCTCACAAAAGGGCATGGCAGCATCAGACAGGTTTCATTTATTTCCTTGTATCCACAGCTGTGCACCCAGACCCATCTGGCCACACAGCTACTAATCTTAAGAGGATGTAATAAACAAGTGACATACAACTGCAGGCTCCATCTGCTCAGGAGAGTGGACAACAAAACCGCACAATGCAGGCACCGTTCACACTTGACACAGAGAGCAAATTCATTCCAGTATTAAAAAGTTTTTCCCTTGTTTGGACGCCACACTTCCCACACTTTCTGCTTTACAATAGGTTTACCTTTCCCCTTCCTTCTCCTCAGTCTCCCTTAAGAAATGCTCTGAGTAGCAGCAGCAAACTTTTCAGGAGCCTTTGCATTAAAGATTTGTTTCAAAGGAAGTGAAATTGGGAAAATCTTGAGTTTTATTCTCAGGCTGCCCAGTAACTGCTTGACAGAAGCAGTTCTTTAATTCATCTGCCTAAGTTTCACAGTGAGTAACACTGTGATAACAATACTATTTTTCTTGCACAGCCACTAGGAACTGTGTGGGTGGATCTGTATTTATTATGCCTGGGAATGAAAAGTCTTACTAAAACTCCAGGTTCAAGAATTATGCAAGAACCTTAGTTTTGAGTTACTGAAAAACGCAGAGTAACAAAAATATAAAATAAATGGCCTTACAAAGGACATCTGGCTCTCAGCTAGGAATATGCAGTCTCTTAAGAATTGCATCCAGTTTATGGACTTTTATAAACATAAATTTTGCAAGGTAAATAGCAAATGAGATGCTGCACCACTGTACTGTATTTGCAACAACAGATATATATTGTCATTTTAATTTGTTTTATACTTTTCAGGCTTTGCTATTTGTATTTTAAGTCATGCATAGAAATGAAATGTTAAAATACTCCCTGCTTGGCATATATAGCTCCCTTTCTCTTGCACTTTATGGATCATCCCCATCATCCTCTGCAAAATCCATTTACTCAAAGGATTTTACCATGAATAATTAAAGAATAGAGAAAAAGTTCTATAGAAATAAACTTAAAATGATCAGAGGGCTTTTTCTCCTTTTTTTTTTCTTTTATATCATGGTACAGAACACTAGGAAACAACATTTCTACTCTCAAATCCCAAAGTAAAGTCATAGAAGACTTTAAAAAGGAACAGAATTTTCTATTTTATTCTCTTACATGTAGAACAGCATATGTAGAACCCTACTGATTTCAGTTTGATTAAGTTTTCCAGAAACTTTTCATAAAAGAAACGCATACCATTACAGCATGATGTGGATTTAATTCTCTTATAATTTTTTGTCAGTTTTATGTCTCTCATGCCAAAATACTTGGATTATGTCCTCAAATTCACCCTGATGGACCAAGTGGCAGAGCTGGGATCTAAACAAGATTAATCAGGAATGGAGGTGAGGAAAAAATGTTAGCTATGATAACACAAATTTGGACACTGTGTATGGCAGCTTCATATCCTACACATATAGAGAAGTATCATACTTCCAGGAAACGTCAGGGGGGGTTTTACATGTTTTTAAATTGCCCTTCAAATAGAATCACACCTTTTTACCTGAAACCTGCTTAAAACTAAGTGAAAGAGTAGCACAAATTGCTCTCTTTGAATTGCTAAATTCTCCCTAGCTCTTTCTGAAAAGAGATGAAAAGAAAATCATGCTGACCAAGGATACCTGTAAAAATAAATATATAGGAACTGACAATCTTTTTATCTCATATAGTTTTTAACTGAAGACTTTAGGTGGATATTCACTGCGATCATGTTTTAGAGTTTCAACAAAATTGTATTTATAAATGAATGTTTACGTCTTTAATGCAGGACATTCTACAGCTAACAGAAGGCAACAAAAGTAATTTATGAACTTTTAGCCACACTTTTTAGGTCCCAATTTTTTACTGTGAAAATTTCAGATGGAAGAAAGACCATTGTTGTCTCAAATAATGAGAACAAGGTACTACTAGAGAGTCATCGAAAACACCTGGCTATATGCCTACAAAACAACAGGGTTGTTCATTTTGAAACAGCTAGATGCAAAATAATATATACAGGTATCAAAGATGCATACAGTACCTATAAAGTGGAGTACTTACAAAGTTTCTGCCTTGAAAAACTGTGACTCTAAGAAGGTCTTTGGATTTCATGGGTAACTACTCCCCCAGTGTGATTTCTGGATGCACAAAGGTGGAGGGATTTCCAGCAGAGAGATGACCAGTATTTATTTTATCATAGAGAAGAATGAGAGGTAGTTTGATTACAGCATATAATTATATGCACCTGTATTTAAGTAAAGCATTTCACAGTGTGGGGTCCCTTTATCCTGTTTACAAGAAACTTTCAAGGCCCAGCTGCAGTTAGATAAGTTCAGCCTTTAACTAAGATACCAATTTTTAGGAGCAAGAATGATTGAACACTCTTCAGGAAAATATGGACTTTCATACCTGTGAGTCCTTTACAATCTGATCTCTCTCAAAAAAGCATGTTTTTATTTAGCAATTGGAAAGAATACTTCAACTTTGGCTTGTGTGAAAAGAAGGATGTGGCTGCCAAAAGTCAGCAAACTCAGCTCTCCTAGCTGCTCCTCTCCTTCAGGGCCCTAAGAAAACTCAGATTACTTCCATGGTCAGTGCTACATTCTGAACCCCACAAGTTATTGCAAGTAATAGCACCCTATGTTTAACTGCTCAGACTTTCATATATAGCATCACAAGTTTTCTGATGTTGACATTTTTCTCCAATTGTATTGGTTTAATTTCTAGAATTTGAGGGTTTGCTGTAGCTGATTATTCTTTGAAGTGCTGCAGACTGGTCCTAAATAGAGACATAAGAAGGTTTGAGAAAGATGGTACAAAAAATACTCCTAAAATTTTGCTTAGTGCATCTTCTTCACATCTCAAACCACCATGATTACAACACTTATGTGTTCAGGTCAGGCAAGGATCTGATTTTGTTCTTCCCTTTGTATGTGTTGTTTCCCCTCCCTTTCATTTCAAGGTCAGGGATCAAAGCCTGACTACAGGGATAACTGGGAATATACTCTTTATCCATTGCTGGCACATTAAGCTGCTCTGCATTTTGTGAGACACATAAGTTCGTCTGAAGACCCAGTATTTTGGCCATTACAAAGTGCTTGGACTTTGTAGAAAGTATTTGGATGAAATTTTATGATCTGTAACATATAGAAGTGCAGATCAAATGATCTAACAGTCTCTTGTGGCCTTAATTTCTACAAAGCTATGAAACTGTATCTTGAAAAATGTAGTTCACTAACTTAGCAGATTATGAGCAGCATGAAATTGGAGAATATCCTTTGCTAAAATACACCAGGAATGTGTTGTTATCTATTCCTATCTAACTTGTTCCAGATGAGAGAAATGCTCCATAGTGAGGTATCTAACTACACAACAGATTAAGCAGATATGCAAAAGAATGACAGACAGTAAGTTTTCACTTTGTTTAGGAAACATTTTTTCCTTAGCTGCATCGATGTACTGTGTTGCTAATAATTCTCTCTGGAGTGATATTCTGCAGTCAGTAATGTCTTTGCAAGTACTTTGCAAATACTACTGTTAAGATTTGTGCCTACCTTTCAAGAAGAGAGAAAACTTCATCACTTGTCCCATGGACTACTGATTTGTTCTTGCAGCCTGTGAAAAAAATCTTTCCCCAAGAGCTCCCATAACTTTTGGTCTCTGCGTACCAAACTCCAGCAATCTGGGGGCCACGCTTCCACACTTTTCAAACCATTTTCGGCTTGTCACCCTCCTGCTGGCATGTTTTCCTCACCCAATGAGAGCAGAGCTAGCACCAGCGGTGGAAAGGCCTTCCTGCTCTACTTGGTAAGGATGAACAGCTGGGCTTCCAGCAGCACAAGCCCCATACAGAAGGCCAACAAAATGACCCAGAGAAAGTTCAGAGGCTCCCTTTTTGGTACTGCTACAAAGGATTTTTTCTTATCTGAACACCAGGAGACATATAGCACATTGCTTTCTCTTGGAGCTGTTTCTCGAGACTGGGTCCTGCTTTTCCAAGAGACACAATGTATTTTGGCACTGTCTACATTAGTGTCACATATACAAACAGAGCCAGTACAATAGCTCTGCTACAATATTTAATCTTTAAACATGTTTAAAGAGCAAATATGACACACCAAGTACTAGCATGGTCACCCTGCTTGAACTAACTTTGGATAGTTATTAGTGCTCAGCTGCTTCTCTGACATTATCAACACAGATAAAAATTCCTCATTGGGGAAATTAAAAACTACTAAATGCCAGTGACTGAAAGAAACTTTGTTACTTTAAACCTTGCATTAAAACGACAAGGCAATCAAAGTTTGACAAGACAAGCTAATTAGTATGCCAGCGATGAAATGTGAAGACTCTCCAGGGGATTGGTTCTCAAAAGTTTTATGTCATTTATAGGGCCTTTTCTTAAGCTAATGTTGTCAGCTCTCATGGTGAAATACACAACAGTTGAATTTCATTATCCTTGTAGAAATTAAGGACTAAAATCCCTTCACTAATTTCTAGTCCTCTTTTTTTCTGCCCTAAATACTACACTAAGTCTTAGTTTACAGCCAGGCATGTAATTTCTTCAGGACACTAATGCAAAACAACCCTAGAGTTATCAATGACATAAAAAAGCCTATTGCTTTAAGTGGCTGTATGGTGCTTATTGTGTTAGCTTATTGTGTGTATGTATTTCACAGAACTACAAACATATTCCCCTTTCCCAGAGAGTTTATACTTTTACATTTATTCTTCCTCTACAATATTTTTATTAGCTTCAACTTAGCTTTTTAGATTAATTTATTTTGAAATGCTGCATACTGCATCATGTACTGAATAGATACATATAAAAACAAACTACATTTGAAATACACATATGTGTCTGATTTCTTCTCAAAGATTTACAAGAACTTTGGACATTTCTATTTAAAGTACCTATTTATTACATTGCATTGTAGTTATATGAATTTTTTTTTTTCTCTCAACACAGATTTAAGTTAATCAATTGGTACAACACAGAATTAGGGCCTACAAAATAAAAAAAGACTAAAATCCCAGCCTTTGGAAGGTGAATCATGTTGCTTATTACCACTCCTCCTCCCAGGGAAAAGGAGTAGTTTTTAAGAGACAGTGGGGAGTGGAAATGGGTTTCTGCTTGGGGTGGCAGGTGAATTCCCTGCAGACCTACCTCACCTCTCCAGGTGCCACAACAGATATGAGGCCCTGGAATCTGAGGACCAGGGAGATGAGGATGTGAATGAAGATCCATCCAGGTTAGAGGGGTTGCCTAGGGCAGGACAACCTACCCTGCACATCAAAACCTCCTCAATTAAGAAAAACATAAGGATAATATTGGTACACTGGTGAACTCCCTTTTGAGAGGAATGGAGGGCCCAATATGCCAACTGGATCCAGCCTATAGGGAGGTGTGTGAGCCTTGGGGAAATCACCAACAAACTTCCCAGCTTGGCATGGCCCACTGACTATTGCCCACTGGTTTTCCAGGTGGACACATACAAAGTCCCAAAAAGACTAAGGATGATCAAGCGGGACCTCAGGGCATTGAGACAACTGGTCAAAGGATCTGAAGAACAAATTGCGTTCTCTTCTGTCCTGCCAGGTGCTGTCACACCAAACATAAGTTGTCAAGAATTATTTCAAAAATTACCCAGACCACAACAGAGGAGGATTTAGGATAGCTGTGGAGGATGGATGTAAAAAGATGGCACTTGACAGCTGGAGGATCTTAACGCCAGACTGAGCAAAACAAGCCGTGCTCGAGAGAGGGATACAGGTTATGAGGCTTCACAACTAAGAAGCCTCTCCAGGGGTAAGGAAGGAGATTTCCCTACAGACACTCCAGAAGCATCTACTGCCCATGGTGAAGTTCTGCTGCTGGAGGGATTGAGCAGGGTGAAGAGCTGTCACTGTGAGGTAGGAAAGGTGCACCTTTACCTCAAGACATTAAATACACTTTGCTTCCATGCTGAGCACTGTGGGTTCTGTAAGCAGAAGTGCACAGTTTACTCTACAGAAATTGCCCATGTTCTGGTAGAAGTATTGTAACATTTACTAAGCCTGAGGTTGTTGGCATTAAGCAGGCTCAGCGAAAAGCATGCATTTAGAAGCCCTGCCTTCCTTCCCCTACAAGCAAATCCCCAAAGAGAAAGGTGCCCAACTTGCCTTCTTTTTTGCTTCAGCTCTGTCAGCTTTTCTCAGCAATTTGGAAGCAAAATAAATTACTGTGATCTATTTGGGGATGATCCAGATTTTTTTTTAAGGTCCAGAAGCACAAAAACATATTACAGCCAGAAGAAGATATTTGAAAGAAATTTTTTTTTTTTTTAAGGCAAAAGCAGAATTGTAAACCTGAGACATCACACAGTACAACTAGCAGAACCCCAGAAACACACCCATTCAGGACCTGGACAGCACATGTGCACCTTGATGGCAAAAGTCCTTTATTCACTAATACTCAATTCTTCATTACATATACGATTACACATATGCTTTCCCATTCACCCTCATTTTTAGGAAAGAATTACTTAAGAAAACAAGGAAATGAAACAGGTTTTGAAGGACTAAATCTCATACTCTTCTCACTTGTGAAAGACATGCAAAAACATGTTCATTTTAAAAGAATTAGGCTGTACACTAAGCCTCCAAGTAGAACATCACTTTTAAAAGGTCATGCCATTGAGAGAAAAATGAAAATGAAAAGGAAAATTTAATAAGAAAAGAAGGAAAAGGAACTCAAAAGGTTAATAATTTATCCTTTAAACAAAAAAGGCAATCTACTTTTTCTCATTAAAACCTGACACACAGCACTAACTGAGGAGATTATGTTGTGAAAACATACTGCATCACACGGTAATGCTTGATCGAGATCAGCAATCAGGAGCAAAAAGAAAGCACTGTTTCGTGATTATAATAGCAAATTCTGGAAGACAACCAAATACATCATCTGGCAGCCTAAGAGCTGTTACAGCTTGGTAGTAATACCTTGGCATTTGCTATAAGCTATAACTTGAAAAAATTGATTTCTCATCTGCCAGCAACAAGAAAATGTTCTCCTTTTAACATTTCTGAAGTTTCTTTTACTAGAATACTCAGATAATGGATCTACTTTTTTATTTTCCTCAGGTTTTACTCTTGCTGTAAAGTTAATAGTGTATCAGTTAGATTAAAAAAAATAAATTTGAGGAAAAAATACTGGAGGCAACATAAATAATGTGTGTTCAGATAGATCCCGTTTTGATGACACACCAGGTCATAGATAACCAAGAATATTTCCAATTGTCCTCCTTGCTCATATTCACAGCTGTGATGTAAAATAATTGTTATACTTCATACCTGCCTGAAAAGGGAACACTTTCAAAATAAAGTTTAGTACTTTTCCATATGTTTTCCTTTGATGTTAGTTAAGCCTTCTTTTTGCAAGTCAGAAGCAGTACACAAGGGTGCAAACTGAGACAATAATGCTGAGAATTAACAATACTTAAAAAACCCAGTCTTTAAATTACTACTGGTATAGGATGAGAAGAGGAACATGAGAAATGTTTATTGTAATTTGTCTAACTATATGAAATAGTTGAAGAATTTGTTCTGTGTGTAGACAGGCTCCCTAAAACCATCAGTTTTCTGAGCACACAGTACTTTAAACCTTAAAGTAAACATGCATCATAACAAGGACATAGACTACCTAAAATCTTTCAGCACTTCAAACATTCAAGTCATTTTAGGGTTAAGTAAAAGCAGTTAATCATAAATATTTTAGATTCTAGCATTCTACTTAGATTTAGAAGTGTCATAAACAATATCTCTCACAAATCAATATTCACACAGTACATCTATGGGGAAAAGAAACAAACACAAAGGTGGTTTGAGCTATCAAAGAAATCTCTACCTTTACGCCTAGTGCAGTTTTCTTGGCCTCTGCTTTTAATCTTGTAGCTCTTAACATAGGCCTGGTTTTCTTATAATCTTGTTTCCCTAGAGTAAAAAAGCATATTCAATGAAAACAACGTAAAAATAATACAAAGAATGTGAGCATTTGTTTCAGTTGAAAAGTCAGATTCAACATATTAAAAACATCCCACAGTCCAACATTTCAAACAACAGCAACTCTGTCACACAGGGATTCAATGTGTGGAACAACCATGCTTAACACAGACAGTAACAGAAACAAGATCTGACAAATCAGTGTAGAACCTGTTACTCCAGAGTGACATCAAAATACATCTGTGGATAGATATCCACTAGTACAATGTTTAATAAATTGGTCCATAGGAATCAGTCAGCAAATAAGTAGATTAAAGGTAGATTATGTTTGTCCCTCTCATTGAAATCAAAACAAAAATTTCCATTAGAATTTTTCTTGCCTAGTCATCTCTAATGCACATATAAATGTGCAAGACAAGACATTCTGTTGAATGTAAAGGTTTGTAATTCTGAACTGGAACATTATTTGCAGGCATCAGAACTCAGAGATATGGAGACAGTCTAAGTAAATGCTAATAAAATCACTGCTTAACACCATCTGCTTGTAGAAACACGTTACACAAAATCTTCTAGATTAACTTTCTACAAGTTACAGGAGCTATCTCTTGCAGCCACAAAGAGTGCAGCCCAGGGCTTGATTACACTGACTGCATATGAACTGAGTTCAGAGGAGGACATGTAAGCATTCAGAAATGGTAAAAATGGTATAAATCATTTATCTCAACTTATTAACGAGCATAAAACACCTGACATCTCTCAGGGATATTTCTGCTGTCTGAAAGGCCTGTTACTGTTGTATTATGAACTACTAACCACAGCTTCTTTCAGTTAACAGAAGTACAGATAGTCACAAAAGGAGAAGAAAACGAAGAATCTGTGAAGAAACTGCTCAGAGGGATACAGCCTCAGTACAACTGCTTTGGCTTTTTAAAAAAGTCCTTTTTATTTTTTCCCTCCTAATGCATACATATCTTTTTTTTCTTTAGGCCTAATTCCAAAACTAAACTATAATGCTTAAAGCAGAGTGTTTGGCCTATTTCAAATCACTAAGTTTACCTATTTGTATATTAGCTTTCATTGCTGTTACAGTCAAATAGTTTAACTTTTCCTCTAAAACTTTGTCCAGTGGTTTTGTATACAAAATCCTGTTTATCCAAGCAGATGTGATTTTACATTCATAATCAATAATGCAAACTTCTCATTTTATGGCTACCTTGAAAACTGGGATATTACTGTGTAGTGATGAAATTCTGAAATGTGAATATCTCTTTCCAGTAATACACTGGATTTATGGAAACCCACTTCTGACTTTGTCTGCTCCTTGTATCACCCTGCTCATACTCAATACAGAGATTGTCTGTGTAGCATAACGTGAATGCTGAACTTGCATCACAAGTTTGCTTTCATTATATAATCTCTCCTCAGTTCTATGGATTATATATTGGGAAGGTCTCCATACTATTCTTTGGTCAGATATTATTCATGAAAGACTTGAAATAACTTAAAAATACTTGATAACAAATGGAAAAATAACTGAAACCATATGTATTAAGAATAAAAAAAAAAAAGGCAGCATAGATCCAAGGAAACTCAGAAGACAGAGTGAAGAAAGGATGACAGAAAGAAGATTTATGTCAGAGGCTCCAATATATTCATCCAGTCAATACATCTTATTAGCAGGACAGGACCACTGCATCACTATTTTTCAGAAGTCAGTAATATCTGATAGTAGGATGCATCAGAGAGTACAGTAATTTTTTAGAACAGCTGGAGAAAGACTTGCAGAAACCACAAAAATGGCTAAGTCATGAGATGACATCAGCCAGAACGTGTTTCTTCTCCCTGAAGTCTCACATGCATACTTTTGCCATGAAATAGTTAAAAGATCTTTCTGAATTTCCATTACAAATGGCAGGAGTTCATTACTCATAAAAATACACTCCAGGCTGAAATTTGGCGTAGACACACCCCAGCCTTGAATTTTTTTGTTTGTTGCGAGCCAACTTTCATAAGTGATGCAGCTGTTCTTACTTACTTGTGAACAAACTATAGAAATGTATCAATCTGAAATGTTTTAAGCATGAAAAATATCTTCATTTAGAACTATATAACTGACAAGCACTAAGTTAAATCTCAGTTCTCATAATTCAGGTTTGCTGCTTTTCCATCAGAGGTAAATGAAACAAGACAGTCAGAAATTTCCCTTCCAGTGATGCAACAGCATTAGATAATGAAAACTAGAAAGCCTGGTAAGGTCCACTAGGAATGGGACACAAGTCAGCCAGTAAAACCCACCTCCCTTTCCTCCCATTGCCAATTCTCCCTCTTCTTCTCCACAGCTCAAATGTGAAGGTGACATGAGCAGGGGCAAATATTGCATAGAAGACCCAATCTGTGAAATACATGTATGGGCAGAACCATGTTTACTCATCCAAGTGAGAAAGCTTACTGGTGCTCTTTCCCTTGGCACCCTGCTACTCTTTATTCCAGTATCACGGCTACAGCTAAGACTGGATTCTACTTATCTAGAGCATACTTCCACATTTATATTAAGTCTGATATGAACAACTAACCCTCCTATAACAACCAGGCTATTTCAGTGATGACTCTAGAACTGGTAGTTCTCCAAATCCATGCACCTGCCATTAATTTACCACTCTCCTTGCTAAATGTAATAGCCAAAAGGAAAAAAATACGGTAGGGAAACAGTCTGAGTCCACCAAGTGCAAAAGTTTAAAAAGGGCATCTGTGGACTTCTTTGTAATGAAAACCAGATTCAGCAATCGTACTAAAAGACTCTTAAAACATGTGAACTTTCTGAGGCCTTGGGAAAGACATCTGCATTACAGGACTACAAAGAACAATGAAATGCAAAAATCCTGTCACGTGAATACTGATCATTACCACCTGGAAAACAAGCAGAAAAAAGTAATACAGGCTCCCTACAGCCTCCCTTCTTTTGGGCTTGCAAATTCAACCAGTTGGGATAAGTATATTCACACTCTCAATGTCTTCTAGTTTTATCTCACTTATCCTGCAAGCTGTCTGGTACATTTATCTGTCAGAGTCATCAGTTTAAGCTATTTCTTCTTCTCAGGAAGTGATCATCAAAGCCAGTTGAGACAGACTCATCAGACAAAGCCTCATTTGTCTGCTTTATCCAATGCCTATCTGAGACACCAAGTTTTCCTGATGGAATATATGAAGGCAAGAAGAAGCCAAAAAGATACCACTAGAAGATTTCCAGACCAAATCTTACTTTTTCTATTAAACATAATCCTCATCTCTTTGACTAGTCATTATTGTTATCAATTTGTCATCTCTTCTCTCAAACTCTAAACTGTAGTGCCAGCTTCCTGAAACTTTTTTTACAACTACTGCTATTTATTTATTTATTTTAAAACAAATTCACTACTTCTTTACTCTTTCAGGCCCATCACTTCCATTCTATTTTTAAGGCCAAAGACTTAAAGTACTCCATGATAAGGCAACTATTTTTACTGACTACAGCTCTCTACTTGTCCTACTTCCTGACAGTGCCTCCAAAGATCATCCACCTTCCCATCCAGTGCATGAAACAGCCTTTGCCTGTCCGAAAATCTACAGAGATTGCCTGGCACCTCCTCTCTTCCTTCCAACCTTCTTTTCCACTCCTTTGGTGGCAAAGTGACCTCAGCAGCACCTGAACTAAGCTGAGCCATGCTTACAGATCCTGTTTGGAAAACTTTCCTGGGATAGAAATGAAGACCATTTTACTAGCCATAGGATTAGAACAGGGTGAAGATAAGGGAGCTTTTTAGCTACTAAAACAGCTATACTGGGAAAAATGAGAAAGGGTGCCTCCTTCAGAGTGGATATTAGAGATTCATACACTATGCAAAGTGAGTTTGTTTCTCTTCGTGTAACTAGGAATAAAAATCTATGAATTTTACAAGATTTTTTTATTTACCTCTGCTTACAAGGAAAATTGAGATCCCATACATCTTCTATTCAGTAATTTTAATAACATATTAGAGATGGCCTGATCTTGTATATTCAGTATTCTTTTTAATTAAAACCTCCAATGACATGATGATAAATGCCAAAAAACAAAGTAAAAGGCAAGTTCATTTAAGTTCTGGATTAATTTTTTTTTTTTTAGTCTACAGAAATACTGTGACACTGCCAGGTAGTTTGCACAACACTGTACCCCTGCATACATACCAAGGTCCTTTATATGTGCGACCGAGATTGCAGGATGTTGAGCACTGTATTACAGAAAACTGACTACTTTTAGGATTGTGTTTAAAGATGCTGCTGTTTAAGACACAACCTGAAAAAATCTACAGAATAACTTCACAAAAAAAAAGGAAAAAAAAAAAAAAAAAAGTATTTCCAACCCTTCTAGATATTTACTCTTTCATTCTAACAATAGCTCATTACTGGAATTGAATAACAAACTAAAGACTGCCTCTCTGCTTTTTAATTCATCAGGCTTAAGCAGAAACAGGACTGCATCTTTGGCCTTTGTTGATGCTGCTGTCCAAGCTTATTATCATATGAATATCTAGTTATTGTTTTATAAATGTTCACATTTCAGGAGCTCCCTGCTTTCTTTTCTCTCAGCAGACTTTACAATATCCACCTTCATTATCATCATGTGGCAGCATTGCTCTTCGCCTGCATTTGCTACTTTAAAAATTAATGCACTGCTATTTTCTGAATACTGTACTGTGTAAGCTGCTTATGAGTACATTATGCTATCAAGCAAGCACATGCAGAAAAGCTTCCTAAACTGTTATTCTTTCAATGAAAATACAGCTGGTTCTGCTTCAAAGGCACTTCTTTTCACCTGCAAATGGACTTGCTTCTACACTTATTCCTCAATTCATTGTCTTTTATTTGTGTCTGCAAATCTTTAATTGCCTTTAATTAGAAAGAAGTAAATTCAGTGCTTTAATCTTGCAAATACATTCAATCATAATTCTGTCTGGGATGAATACCAAGTTCCA